TCCCCACTAAAAGGAAGACCCTCGCTGACCTTGGACCTTCAAAACCATGAGCTAAATAATCCTCTATTCTTTAGAAATTACCCAGCGTCAGGTATTCCTGTCATTACCAACACAGAACAGACGAAAACATTAACATTGCCTAGTTTATATGCTTGGCAAGTGGCTTATCCGAGATAGTGCATATAAAATGTTTAGCACCGTAACTTTCATACCTAAGAACTTAATAAATTTAGCAATTCTTTTCAAGGGCTGACACACCTGCGAGAGCAAGCCTTCTCAAGTGGACAATCTTTGTCGTTGCTCTTTGTTGTGGGGGACCGTTCTGTGCAGTGTAGGGCGTTGAGCAGGATCTGTGGCCCTCTACATACCAGGTGTTAGTAGCGCTCTGTGTCCTTGCTGTGACAACCAAAAATGTCTCCAGACATTACCAAATGTCCCCTGGGTGCAAAATCATCACCTCTCTCTGAGAACCACTGCTCATTCTGCTAATGTTTACAAAGCACACAACTATTTCCCTCTGATGGCAACAGTACCTGCTTTGTGTGTTGGAAGAACCACTCTCACCCTATCTGCACCCGTGGGCCTGGTGTCAAGTGCTCAGTTCAGAGCCTGACACACAGTGAGTGGAAGAGTCAATACACAGGGGTGACTGATCTCTCTTCTATCAGCTTATGGTACGGAAAGATGCCATAGCTCCTGGAAGTCACTATACAGAGCCAGAAAAAAGCCATCCTAGAAGATATGGAGTTGTCAAATGAAACCTCCAGTCATCATTTGGATGCTGAATCAAACCAAGCCTGAAGCCGTTTCTAGTCCCTAGGCTTACATTTATGAATGGATTTGTTTTCTGTGTCATTTTGAGTTGATAAAACTGCCGAATACATGCTGGACATTATGCCATGTGCTTTTACATATGCCTGTATTTGTTCTACATAGCAATCTTGGGAGATAAGTGATAGATTTTCCCCATCTTACAGGTGGCAATGGACGCTCAGTGAGTCAGGTGACCTACCCAGGTTCCCACAGTCAAATAGAGCTATAATTTTATTTCACTTCCTCCAACTTCCAGTCCAGTTTACTGCACGTCTTCCATGTCAGCTGTGGTGAGGTGACTTGGGGCCACTGAGCAGGAATAACCTTCAGCTCTAACTCTAAGAGGCTGACTGTGAGCGGAATTCCGCCCAAGGTCATGGGGATGAAGAATCCCTGTATCCTAAAGGAGGGCATTGTTAAACCTTTGCAGGTGCACGGTAGACATGTGAAAACTATTTGCCTAGAGAGACTTAACTCCTGTTCACTTCTTGATATGTGAGAAGAAGAAAATTATATTAGTTAATATGAAACTGCTTTGTTTTGAACACATCCAAAAATAGCCCAGGAAAAAATTATCTTCACTAATAAAGTGAGGCAGATATGAAACCTTCATGCATGGAGAAACACAAATGATCTTATTATCCTGAGCATCTTGATGGTAACTATAAAAATGCATCTTTATTTGAGTTTCAGGCAAAATATAAAATAGTAATATTACTTTACGTTGAACATTGTGTGTATCCTGCAAGCTCAAGTCCTGCTCCAGAAGTAATCGGAATAGATAACTTCTAGGGTCTATTTAGGAGAAGCCAAGCACCTTCGAGGTCATCCATACGCTGCTTCTTTTACCTACAACAAGCCCGCAAGGAAGTTATTACTCAGGTAAACTTACAAGGGCAGTGAAGCACTTTGTTCAAGGTCATCACCTAGTAAAGAGTAGAGTGAGAACCTAGGGCCTCTCTGACTGCCAAACCAGTGCCCCTTACTCTAGGCCAGGCTATCTGAGGAATGAGGAATAGCTTAAGAACAAAATCTCCGTATATGTCTTAAATTTACTTATGTTTTGTTATGATGATGATAATTAATTTTATTATTGCCAAAGGGTTTGTGTGCTGGCTAGAGTCAGAAAGAAAACATTCCCCAGGCAGGTACGGTCACACCAACCCCCTTCCTCTTTCTCCTTTCCTTGTTAGCATTTGGGGCAAGCGCACACACCCATATCCAGTGAGCATTTCGAGCCACCAGGGCCAAGATCTGAACAGCGGCTGGGCATGTGGGACCTGGTTTCCAATACACACCTCTCAACCATTGTAGTAGGGGCCAGCCTCCATACTTTCTCTCCTGACAGTTGGCTCTCAAGTTTGCACCAGCCCCACAAGAATGACCGCGCAATCAGAATGCTGTTCACAGTCAATAGATACTCTACATCCCTACTCTGTAGGAGGCACAGCACCATGGCCTGGGGTGTAGATTTCATAATCACCAGACTCCTGTAGTTCTTCGATAAAATACCCCAAAGGACAAGCCATACAGGGACAATCAAAATCATAGATTAAAATGCTCTCATTTTCCAGGCTAGTGCTTCATAGCTTTTGGTCCAAGACCATTGAAATAATCATGGAATTTATAACTCCAATATAGTCATTCACCATTTCTTTCATTTGAGAAATCGACTTCAGTATTGTCCCACATCCATACCTGTCCCCTCTATCCTATTGGTAACAAGGCAGTCAGAGTAACCTTTACAAAGTATGAACATGGGCACATCATATACACACACATTGCACGCGTACACACACACACACACACACACACACACATGCACTCACGGCTACCTGCTTATAAATCTCTGTGGATTCTGACAACATTTAGGAGAAATAGCCATGTTTTTAAATAATCTCCTAGATCCTTAGCAATTCTACCAGATTTCTTTTTTGAGAGAGAGGTTTTCACTATAGGGCGCATGCACTGGTCAGAGACAGAGAGAGACAGAGAGACAGAAAGTGAGAAATCACCCCTCCCCCAAAGGGGATGGTCATGCACAATCCCTTTTCCTCCAATCTCCTCTTGGAATTTTGGGCATGCACGTATATATGCCCAGAATGAGCTGTAAACTGTCAGGTCCAGGACTTGAACCGTGGTTGACTCTGTGGGAGTCCAGCGACGTAACCATTACACCATCCTCTGGTCCCTCTATCAAATTTCAATTTGAATAAATTAAACTTTTGCATGCTATGATTAGTATTAATTTCATAACTGGAGAGTTAATGACATAAGTTTTTCTAACTTTCAATTAGTCATGAGATACTATAAACATTTTCAAAGGTTGGAGTCATCAAACATTACCCTAAAAAGCCATACTCTTTTCCTACTATTAGGTTATTGAGAAATTCATGATGTATTTTTCCATGTTCTATGCAAAAATACGTCATGACTTTCCTGATGGCCCAATACTATTTCCTGTAAGTAGTAAATCAAAGGTTATTGAAAAATATTAATGTTTGAACACATACAGTCCAAAACCAGCCTCAAAAGTTCTGATCAATACAGAATTCTCTTACATGTCAATATGTAATATAAATGAAAAAATTATATGAAGTTAGGAAAAAGTCTACTTTTATTATAAAACATTTTCTATATCTAGATTTCACTGGTTACAATGAATATGGAATCATTTCTGATTCTCAAAGGAGGAAACAAAACAACCTTACCAAACCAATTCTTAATTATGTATAGGAGTTTTCTGATAAGGATAATAAATAATTCTGATAAATGAAGATCACTGCTCTGAACATTGAAGGTTTATTTTTAATGTAATGACCTTTGTAATGTTTGGGAGATTAACTGACTTATTTCTGGAGAAGAAATAAATAAAAGAGACCAGAGAACTATCTGAAAAAGCAGACTTTAAAAACTTTCTAGGAAAGATGTAAAAACATCAAATTGATTGTATTTCAAAAAAGTAAATTTTAAGCAATTGGGCTTTATTTAAATGGAATGACAGTTTGATTGGAGGGAAGCATTACTGTCATGTAGTCACATGAGTCAGGGTCATAGCTATTGATATTTGGAACTTTGTTTCTACTCTCATTACATCAAGTGTCATATTTTTGTCAGGAGTAACTGTCCACTTTTACAAACAATTCTCTTTTAATGTTACAAGTTGATTGTTTTCATCTTGAATATGTCAGGCAACAGACAGAAAAATCTGTATTTCTTAAAACTTAAGTGACCTAGAAGTCTACACAATGCTGTGTTTCAAAAAGAGCCTAAATTCTGAGAACTGGTGGGAAGGGATAGCAAAGAAAATGAGATACTAATTAAAATAATCTCTTTGTAGGTAATCAAAGGAACATAGAGTCATTCAAAAACAACACAAGCTCACATTCTAGATTTTTGGTTGAATATTCAGGAAGATCTTTTGTTCTCATAAATTAGTGGTCCCAGAAAATGTAATTTTTTACAAACAGACTCCATGGCTAACCGTGGTTTGAGTCCCAGACCTGGTACCTTGCCTTTTCACTTTCCCATTCTCTCTCTCTGGTCAAATTAAAATAAATAAATATATAATAATAACAAATAAATAATTATTTAAAAAAATAGACCCCATTAAATAACATAACAATAATCAACCCAAAAGTTATTGACACTATCTTTGTGTTCTCAGATTAACTTCTAAAAGGAAAAAGAAAAGCCCTAGAGTTGCTTACTGGGTATCGCAATAAGCACGCTTTACAACTTCTTCCAGTATTAGCGTCATTCATTACACTAATGCTGTCAGCAAAACAGGCTGAACGCAGTAAACTGCAACTTGAAGACCTCAGTGGTCCCTCCTGTTGATAGGCTAGTTCGCTCAGACAAGGAAACATACTTTAACAATAGGGAAGGTTTCCAGAAACCGAAAAGCTGGCTTCTCTTCAGCCTCACCAACCCATGAGACGTTCTTAGCATTTTTACCCAGTTTGACTTTAGTTTGTGGTTGATATCGAACTGTGTCGTGACAATCCATATCACATTTGTGAAACATTAGAATCCTCCATCCATCAAAGAAAAATTCATGTCAAATATGTGAGTATTTTACAACACCCCCAGTCTCCTGAAGTGGACTTCGAGCTGGACCTCATATGTAACTCAGACCTCAAACGATGTGAGTTTGGAAGAAATGAACAGAAACGCCTTAGACTTACCTCCCCGCCTCAAAAGTGAACCACGTGGTATCACGTCCATACCGCCGCAGGGCGCTTAGCGGCCAAGAGATGAGTTTGACTCTGGGATTCTGGACGTCCCAAAGACAGATATACTCATATGTAATCTGCAAGGCACATTCGCCATGGACATCTAAGTTAGGAGATGGCATCAAATACACATTGAATCTCTCTGGGAGAAAAACAAAAGGTTAGTCCAAAATCCCCAGGAATATAACATCAAAGACATTGAAGGAACACAGAGGCATTCAAAAATAATTCACACTCAACATTCTAGGTTTTGGTTGAATATTTAGGAAGATCATTTTTCTCATAAATTAGCAGTCTTAGAAAACGATTTTTAAAAATGTAGACCCCCTTAGATAACATAATAACAATACAGTCTGGCTGTCATCAATATACTAAACACTATTTACGCAAGGAAACATCATTTTTAGAATTGTTTAATTTGCATAATAAAAATGTGTATGCCAATAAAAGAGGAAAGCAGTGGAACCATTAAAAGCATGTTTTTTCTTGCCAAGCACATGTTAATTACGCCCACGGTTTTGGGTTCACAAAAGATGCAGGTGCAAAAATAATAAGTCTTGTGACTTAAAGATATTAAAGTTATATTGATCGGCTTATAATTTCTATAACTAAATGAAAAAGATTGCATCCCAAATGATTTCAATAAAACTCCACTCTAATGTGATGCACTTAACTGACCAAGAATTTTGGAAAGTGACAATGGATACTTTTTAAGTAGTTTTAGCAGCATTTTTTTTAACCGGATATGGGAAAAAAAGAATTATTGAGTTATGTAATGATTGTTAAAATGTGACCAAGATTACTGTAAATAAATTCTTGGACTAGTTACTGCAACCAAATTTGTATCCTGCAGACACAGTCACGGTATTTCTGCTACATTTCTAGGAAACTCACTAATAAAAAAGTTAAAGAGTCAGAATCTCTCAGTGAAATGCGAACAAAAACATTACCATAGCAAACACATTTCCAGTTATCCACCCCTATGGCTGATTTGTCTACATCTGACAAAAGAATGCAGCACTAACTATTTTATACTAGTCGTACCTAAATTAATTGTTTTATAGTAAAATGATCATTAAAATTTTCTGAAATTTTAGTTGAATTTAGGAAACAATATTGACAAGAGCATATTAATGTATCTACTATTCAAATGTTCTAAATCATTTCAAATTCCCAATAACCAAATATTTGCTGCTTTCTAATAATTTTTATTTAAAATATATATTCCAGTGGCACGAATGTCCCCTTGAGAGTTCCGAACCCAGGAAGAAGGACCATCTTCATTAAGTAAAAAGTAAGAAAGGTAAGTACCAATTCATTTGCTTAGAGATTCTTCTATAATGGTTTCATTTTAAAGCCACAAAAGTGGTGAGAGCAACCCTTTTAATTACAATTACTTGAAGTTCTACAAATTACTGTTGTAGAGTAGCCATCAAAGACACGATTGCGTTTCATCATAATCTCTAGTATACACCAGAAGTGTTCATATTTCCACTTGACATAAGAGGAAAACGAGGCAGAGAAAACTTGTCACGGGAAAGGTGACTCCTAGGTACGGCCGATTCTTAAATTCGGATTACAACACTCGCGAATCTTGCCTCACAAATATAAACTTGGGAAAAACAGGTACTTTTCTGAGCACTTTAGGTTTAAAAAGAAAGAGTAATTAAAACTGTCATGTTTTAGGCTCTCAGGCACCTGTTTGTGAGGCATTATGGGAGTGCCCTCTCTGCTCAGGGGTGTCCAATTTAGTGAAATATAAAAGGAGGTGCCTGGGGGTGGGCCCAACGGCTCTCGTAAAAGGCTCTGCCTCTCTGCCGCTCCATTTCCCAGTCTCCGCAGTGGCTCCTCTTTGTACTTGTACTGCCGGGTCTCCACCAACAAGCCCTCCATGGAGGTGGACTATGGTAGACACCACCATGGCCCACAAACATGCAGACTGAAACGTGTTCCGGAGACAGGTCCATCTGGGAGGGGAGACATCGTTTACTAACACTTGGAGCACGCGCCTACAGAAAGGGTCTGAACAATGTCACCTCTGCCCTATTTGTAAGCCGACCAGGTGGCCCACGGTCCCTGTGACCACAGTAGGTCTTAGAGATCACGTTAACCGGGGGAAGCAGAACTCTGGATCCAGTCTAGCCTGTCATGACGCTCAGCTGCTTGGAGATGAAGAAATGACTTCCCCATGTCCAGGTTTGTACAGTCACTCAACATAGATTTTTCCTGAAGTGTGCATGAGTATTTTGGTTATTATTATTTAAAATGATGTATTCCCAGATTGAGTGTTGAGCTCAGAGTTGGCTCAAGTATTTTGGTTGAAGAAAAAAAAAAAAAAGTCACAGATTTCTTTGGTGGATTTAAAACTGATGAAACATTCATGAAGTTTGGATTCTATTAAAAGCATTGGAACACTTTCAATAACATTTCAAATGGAAAAGGCAAGACAAGAGCCTGCTACACTCTAAGATCTGTACGTCGTAAATCCAGGCCCGAGAGTCCAGCCTGGAATCAAACACCTCACTGCTCAGGTGAGAGCAAGGCTTCTCTAAGCTTTAGATTCTTCATCTGTGAAACGGGGGAGGTAATAATACCTATACCATAGGGCTGCAGTGAACATTAAACAACCTAATACAGGTGAAGGGTCTTCCACCAAACTGGCACACCGTAGGCACCCCCCAAATTTCTAACTGATATCTGTAATGCAGATACATTCACAAGACGCACTGAAAAAAATACATAAGCAAACACACGCTGAAATGTAAACACAGTTTGTGGGTCAGATAAAAGATTTTTTAAAAAGAATCTTTCATTTCATTTACTTAATTATTATTTTAAAATTTGGTATAGGGCACGTGTGCTCACCAGGGAGAAAGAGAAGGAAAATGAGAAAGAAAGCCATTAGATACGGGACTCAAACTGCAGTTAGCCATGTGGGAGTCCAGTGACCCAACCACCACACCACCTGCTGATCCCAATAAAAGATTCTTTCTAGTTTTAGTTTTCAAACATTTTACATAATGAAGATGTCTTCTGTTTTACGAAAAGGGGAGTGAAAACAGTTCTAAAAGAGAGGGGAGGAGAGTTTCTTACATACCACTCTGTTCTCTCTCAACCCCCGTGGCTAGTAAGTCCGGCTCTCCGAGGCTGATGTCATTGATCCGTGTCCCTACACACTCCATCTGGAGCACTTTGCACCATTCATCAGCCTCAAGATCTGCGGAATGTCCAGAAGATTAGGCCGTATGCCTAGCACGCACACAAAGGCTCAAAACAAAAGCCCCCGGCCCACCCCAGCACCCTGCCTTACACCAACCTGACTCGCAAGCGAAGGTCTTGGAGGTGTCGTCACTGAAGTAAATCCCAACGGCATGCTTCTTGGTGCTCTTTGGTAACCGAGCTACGTTCTTCACATTGTTCAGTTCCGTAACCTGGAAAACCAACCGTGGGAAGTTCGATCACGCTCCCTGAGTGCAGGCTTCCAGCTATACCACAGCGAGGCGCAGGAAGCAGACGTGCACATCACAGGTGAGCAGGCCTGACAGGAAGGGCCTCCATATTTGAAAGCTGAGCGTTATCTAGGTGAAGGAGGTGCTCTACTTAATACATAGCAAGAAAGGTTTACCGTGATTTTTCCTCATTACATTTTCTGAAGTATAGTAAGTGGCACAGGTTGAAAACTTTAAGGTAGAAAATTGGTTTTAGTTTAGTATTTTTTTTTAAGGTTCTATCCTTCCTTCTTCCTTCCTCCCATCCATCTTCCACAAAACTCTACTTTATCAATAGTTCTCATATCTATCTCCATCACTGTGGACAACTTTCTTCCTCAGTAGATTGCAAAGGTTTCCAAATTGTCCACCCCTTCAGAGAGCTCCCAGGGTAAGGATGTTAAAGACAAATGACCCTGAGGAAGGGAAAGAAAGGAAGGGCCAATTCATAACTAAATTACCTCACCGCTCACTAGTCAGAAATGGAGAGTCAGGAGTCTCAAAATGGCCCCCAAGTCAAGGATGAACAGATGACCCACATGAATTTGGTTTCCCTAATATTTTCCCAGTCTCTTTGATTTAATTCTCACTTCTCAGGGGTATGGGGCTTCTGTTTTAGAGACTGAGTACACTGCATGGTACCACCATATCCCCATGAGTAGGAAAAAGTGATCCCCACTAGATATTCTCTCTCTTCTTCTCCCCCTTATTCCATTGGGCCTTTAACACTTGCTAACGCTTCCACCGCTACGTCCCCCTGGCACACACACACACACACACACACACACACACACACACATATAGGGGTGGTGGGGGGTGTTCCCACAATATCTGTAATGCAGATACATTCACAAGACGCACTGAAAAAAATACATAAGCAAACACACGCTGAAATGTAAACACAGTTTGTGGGTCAGATAAAAGATTTTTTAAAAAGAATCTTTCATTTCATTTACTTAATTATTATTTTAAAATTTGGTATAGGGCACGTGTGCTCACCAGGGAGAAAGAGAAGGAAAATGAGAAAGAAAGCCATTAGATACGGGACTCAAACTGCAGTTAGCCATGTGGGAGTCCAGTGACCCAACCACCACACCACCTGCTGATCCCAATAAAAGATTCTTTCTAGTTTTAGTTTTCAAACATTTTACATAATGAAGATGTCTTCTGTTTTACGAAAAGGGGAGTGAAAACAGTTCTAAAAGAGAGGGGAGGAGAGTTTCTTACATACCACTCTGTTCTCTCTCAACCCCCGTGGCTAGTAAGTCCGGCTCTCCGAGGCTGATGTCATTGATCCGTGTCCCTACACACTCCATCTGGAGCACTTTGCACCATTCATCAGCCTCAAGATCTGCGGAATGTCCAGAAGATTAGGCCGTATGCCTAGCACGCACACAAAGGCTCAAAACAAAAGCCCCCGGCCCACCCCAGCACCCTGCCTTACACCAACCTGACTCGCAAGCGAAGGTCTTGGAGGTGTCGTCACTGAAGTAAATCCCAACGGCATGCTTCTTGGTGCTCTTTGGTAACCGAGCTACGTTCTTCACATTGTTCAGTTCCGTAACCTGGAAAACCAACCGTGGGAAGTTCGATCACGCTCCCTGAGTGCAGGCTTCCAGCTATACCACAGCGAGGCGCAGGAAGCAGACGTGCACATCACAGGTGAGCAGGCCTGACAGGAAGGGCCTCCATATTTGAAAGCTGAGCGTTATCTAGGTGAAGGAGGTGCTCTACTTAATACATAGCAAGAAAGGTTTACCGTGATTTTTCCTCATTACATTTTCTGAAGTATAGTAAGTGGCACAGGTTGAAAACTTTAAGGTAGAAAATTGGTTTTAGTTTAGTATTTTTTTTTAAGGTTCTATCCTTCCTTCTTCCTTCCTCCCATCCATCTTCCACAAAACTCTACTTTATCAATAGTTCTCATATCTATCTCCATCACTGTGGACAACTTTCTTCCTCAGTAGATTGCAAAGGTTTCCAAATTGTCCACCCCTTCAGAGAGCTCCCAGGGTAAGGATGTTAAAGACAAATGACCCTGAGGAAGGGAAAGAAAGGAAGGGCCAATTCATAACTAAATTACCTCACCGCTCACTAGTCAGAAATGGAGAGTCAGGAGTCTCAAAATGGCCCCCAAGTCAAGGATGAACAGATGACCCACATGAATTTGGTTTCCCTAATATTTTCCCAGTCTCTTTGATTTAATTCTCACTTCTCAGGGGTATGGGGCTTCTGTTTTAGAGACTGAGTACACTGCATGGTACCACCATATCCCCATGAGTAGGAAAAAGTGATCCCCACTAGATATTCTCTCTCTTCTTCTCCCCCTTATTCCATTGGGCCTTTAACACTTGCTAACGCTTCCACCGCTACGTCCCCCTGGCACACACACACACACACACACACACACACACACACACATATAGTGGTGGTTCGTGGTGTTTCCACAATGGCTGCCCTTCATTCATTGAGTGACATCCAGACTTTCTGAGGCACTGGAAACATGAGATATTTGGGTCCTTACTGAAAGGATTATGTGGTTTCAGGGTAAGTACTCAAATAAGCCTTTACCCACTAATAATTTAACCTCCCCTTAACAGATCTCTTTCTATGTTCACAAAAGATCTGCCTCCAATCAATCTTTGTTGTACCATCTCTCCCATCTTATTTCCCTAAATTCAATAAAGGCCTGGCTCAGGAAGTAGGTGGGAAGATAAAAAAAATATGCTCCACACTCACACTAATCTGATCATTTTCCTGCTTCTTAGCCTCCACTGGCCCTTGTCAAAGCCTAAATGCAAATTTCTGAACGTGGAACACAGGAGTGCTCTTCATATGCTGGCCAAACCAAACTCATCAGTGACCCCACAGCCCGCACCTTACTCTCCAACTACACCAAGTTCCTCAGAGTTCTCCAGATGCAGCCGCTGATTTGTGATTCGTTTGTTTACTTTGTACCTCCACCTTAATATAAGCTCTTGCTATTTCGCGAGTTACTTACTGCTCTCTCCACTTCCATTCAAATCCCCCTTCATTCATTACGTGCAGAGCAGGCAATTGTCTCTAAACATAAGTTTGATTCTAGCATTTCTGTGCATAACACCAAACTCTACAATGACTTGCCACTGCACTTGGGACAAAAGTCCAAATCCTTAGCGTGGCCATCAAGGCCCTCTGTGGTCTTCCCCATAGCCACGTCTCTGCTTTTCCTCACTTTCTGTGTCCCAGACATACTGGACTAACTCAGCTTCCTGAAGACAGCATGATTCTCCTAACAGAGCCTTTCTTAGGCTTTCCTTCCTTCACTTCCACTCACCCCAAAGGTTTAGTGTCGAACTCAGTTACCCTAAAGAACACCCTCCCACCCCAACAGCTAACCAGTCTCAAGGCTCTATTATCCAAAAACATTCTGTGCCAATTTCCTCCTTCATAGTCCTCCAGTAATTGACCTATACGGGTTCCTCATTCTGTGCCCTTCTTGCCTCTATGGTGAAATCCCACAGGAGGGACAGTCCTTATTTATTTAGCACTGTGTTCCCTGAGCCAACATGGAGCCTGCCACATAGCGAGAAGTCAATAACTGAATGCAGACGTCATAAACACCAAATCTGCCACACAGCGGGAGGTGAATAACTGAATGCAGACGTCATAAACACCAAACTCACCCATAGACTGATTTGCATGAGGCTTCCACAAGGCCAGTGCCTCTCTCCTGACTCTTTTCTTCAGGGAGGTGGGAGATACTTATTTATCTTTTCATCTTCTTATTCTTCTTCAAGGACTACCTCTGGGAAACTCGCCCTTTTCCCAGTGTCAAGGCAAGTTCCCATATAAGCTACATGCAGTTCTGCTTTATAATAACGTATCGGAATTAATTTATTTCTCTCTCCAGCTCCCAGCCAAACTCGAGTCACCAGCATGGACTGACTGATGGGCTGAGTCAATGGCAAAGGACCAAACCTACAGCCAGCATGGGGACCAAAGCCCCCACCAGACACCACACGTGGTATTTAGCAATGCCTATCTGGCAGGCATAAAACCCTACAGAATCAATGTTATTATTATCGGCATTTTCCAGATGAGAAAAATGAAGCTGAGAAAGGTTAAAATCAGGGGCCAGCAATTAGTGTAATGGCTATGTCGCTGGACTCCCATGTAGTCGACCGCAGTTCGCGTCCCAGACCTGGTGGCTTAAAACTCACACTGGGCATGTGTGCCTGAGTGGCCAAGATCCCGAGAGGAGAATGGAGGAGAAGGGATTGCGGCGTGGCCATCCCCCCTGAGGGGTGATTTCTTGCTTTCTGTCTCTCTGTCTCTCTGAGTCTGGCTTGGGAGTGCACGTGCCCTATGGTGAAAACCTCTCCAAAAAAAAAAAAAAGAAAGGTTAAAATCATACAACAAACCTCGATTTGAATAAAGCAAACTGATCCACAGCTTAAGCTCTTAACTAGTCTGAAACACAAATGGCCAGCTCTAAACAGCCAGTCCAGGCGTCTTCAGCCCTTGGAAGTGATCTCGCAGCTGAAGCCTTCTTTCTCTTCAAGAGAGGGGGCATATGTGTACTTGCTACATGCCAGACTCCACTAAGACCAGGTGAGAGTAGTCCATCCTCACCTGCAACATGGCAATGACTTTGAAATATGCACTTCATTATTATCCATTAGGGCAAAGAGGAAGATATAAGTCACCTGGAACAGTCAGAAGACGGAGGGGAGACTGGATGAGTCAGAACACAATTACCCAGTGTGGAAATCGGCCTACTAATAACCAATTCAACACTCCCACTCGGGAGACTGAATCTCACAGGGCAGGCAGGGTCAAGATCTGACGTGTCCAAAGACAATCAAGTTATCTCATTTCCCTGCTTCTTGACCTTTAGAGACAAACAACAGTCTCCATTCCTACCTCAGGACCACACGTGCACTCTCACACACAGTGCGCACATAAACATATACTACAGACACAGCACACACATATACATGATGAGCACATACAGACACACATGCAACATACACTTGACACACATCCATACATATAACTCACAAAGAGGCACGTAATACACATGCACATATACACAGTGCATACACACCCACCACATATGCACCTATGAACACAGACATAACACACATGTAACTACACAAAACACACACGTCTTTCAAAAGAATTGTAATCGACACTAATTCATACTAGATCCTTCCTCAACGTGTCATGCTAAAATATTAATGATGATAATTTACATTTGCAGAGATCTTTCTGTTCGTAAGATATATTTATTTCCATCATTTCACTCTACAAATGAGAAACTGAGACAGGATATATTTTTAAAAAGGAATGATTTCCCCCAGAAAAATCACCTTTGAAGTGAGTTTGATAAAATCTCAGGTTCTCATTTAATGTCAATGTCACTTGAAGTGAGGATACATACGCAGACCTGACCATCACCACTGACTCTGTTAGATCCTCAACATGACCTCAAAAAAGATGAGCATCTGTCTTCGGGCCAGAGCCGCCATCTTCTAGGGATTCACCAAAATGCCAAATACAAAGAGAAAGAGGAGAGACACTCGACATGGGTTCTCTGGGCCTTTTAGTAACATGGAGTGGTGGGACCACCAGGTGACACAAAGATTACATAGCTGGACTTCCACGTGGCTGACAACGGTTCAAGTACTGAACCCAGTGGCTTGAAACACGCTGGGCACATGTGTGTATGCACCCAAGATCTGAAGAGAAGAGTGGAGAAGAGACTGCGGCATGGCCATCCCCACAAGGGTGATTCCACACTTTCTGTCTCTCTCTCTCTCTCTGTGTGTCTCCAGCGAGTGCATGTACCCTAAATCAAAAATCTCTCTCTAAAGGAAAAAAAAAAAAAAAGAAAAAGGAAACATGGAGTGGTTCCTTTGGCAACATACATGTGAATCTACAAGAAAGGTACAATTGTAGACACCAAGGGAATGGGTCCTGTTCAAAAAGGAATGCCCCACAAATGTTACCATGGCAAAAACTGGAAGAGTCTACAATGTTACCCAGCATGCTGTTGGCATTGTTGTAATACTAACAGGTTAAGGCCAAGATTCATGCCAAGAGAATTAATGTGCATATTGAGCCTATTAAGCATTCCAAGAGCAGAGATGGCTTCCTAAAATGTGTGAAGGAAAATGACCAGAAAAAGAAGGAAGTCAAAGAGAAAGGTACCTGGGCTCAACTGAAGCACCAGCCGGCTCCACCCAGAGAAGCACACTTTGTGAGAACCAATGGAATGGAACCTGAGCCACTGAAACCTATTCCCTTTGAATTCATGGCATGATGGATGTTAAAAAAATAAACTTTGGTATATTAAAAAATAAACACATTCAAGCCTCTATGCCTGGAATAACCCTTTTGGTTGACCTTTTATTCAATGTTTTTGTTTCTTTTTTTATTTCCAATCAACCATAACTTATTTCTTTCCAACCTCAAAACTATTTAGGAAGAGTACTTCCCGAGCTTCTTTAGTTATGAGCTTTATTTTTCATTTTCAGCACAAAAGAACAGACACACTGTAAACTCTACATAAATTATGCTT